GTCCTGCCAGCAGACTCGACTGTTTGTCTATAAATTTTAAATGTTTGTGCACGCAACACACAAACAGAAAACAGAAATTAAGTGCAAACTGCCCGGGCAGCAACTTGAACAGTTTCCATGGAACATGAAACTTGGACAACTTTGGACACTCATTACCAATGACCCAAGGCTCCCACTTGGTATTTATATATACATATATACTCGTATATGTACAGACGAGTGTGTGACCTTGACATGACGTTGGCCAGTTTGTCGCTCAAGTGGCACTAAATGCCAACAGACGACGACGACGGAGACGCCCCAGCAAATTGATGACTTTGAAAATGGAATAAAAAAACATTGGTTAGAACGGAAATTCCGCCGAAAGAAATCAAAGTGCAGGGAAGAAAATAAAAAATTAGTCTGTCAAAGACACGAAATGAGAAAAGAAAAGAGGGGGAGGAAAATTGGAAAATTAGTCTAGTTCCTTGTAAGTTCAATTTTCGGATTTAAGGGCTAGCTTTTCTGGCATTTCCAATTGACCGACAGATCCTAATGGAATATCGCGATTACAGGCCAAAATTGGAGCAATTAACTTTATTTATAGTTCGTAGTAATAATATTCTTTAAATTCCTGAAATCAGACCCATCGACTATCGGATCCCAGCTGGGGATTGCATAACATTTGCCAACTCACTCGATTTGACACTTTTCTTGCGTAACTGTCATGTGCAAAAAGGCAAGAGACGAAAAGGAAAATATAAACCCCGAGAAAAAGCGAAAGATATCGGTGTATGTATGTGGACGACGAGGATGAGAGACAGGCAGTCAGGGGATTAGAGTCGTCGTCACTAAGCCGCGATCGGGGGGTTAAGAGGGGCCTTCAGGGGGTTAAGAGGAGCCGGAGCGAAGACGTCAGCGAACGTCAATGCGAATGGCACTCAAAGTGCGAGTAAATCCCATGCCAAAGAGTACGAAACCGAGAACCAGGTGCCAAGTGTATGCACTGCGACAAAAAAGGAGGGGGAAGATTATGGAACAGAAATTTAGATCAAAAAGGTTCTAAAAATGTAGAAATCCATATATGAAAAATAAGTGAAATATGATAAAAACAAACTAAATAAAAAAAAAAATAATAATAATGAAAAAAATATAAAAATATAGAAAGAAATGAAATATGATCAACATTTACGGAAATACAAATTAAATAAAAAAGAAAATAAAAATAATAAATAAAAAAAAAAAAAAAAAAAATAATTTAATGAAATATAAAAAAATAAAAATATTAATTAACCAAATAAATAACATTTTGGTGTACGTTAAAGATGCCTTTTAAAGATTACCCCTAATAAGTTTTGTTAAAAAGTCACTTCCATAAAGACATATCAATACCCAACTAATATAAACTGATGATAGAGAACCGTTTCAACCTCTTCCAAGGAGCGAACTTTATTAGCAGGTGTATATTACTGCCTTTTATTTATTACAACCTTCCAGTGCACAAATATATCCTCCTCTTCTGTGACAATTCAAATCAGCAACGCACTGACAGGAATTAACCTAATTTTACAGCCAGCCAACTCAAGACTCCCCTCGGATTTCAGCCGATGAATGGAGAATGGGCTGAAGGAACCCAAGAACCCAAGAACCCAGAACTGCAGAGCCCAAAGAACCCAGAATGACTATATAGTATATATGACCATGTCTGAATGTTGGTGAGGCGAACGACTTTCAGAGTGCGCTCATGTAGAAAATCCAGCGATCTGTTCCACGTCCATGCCGCATTTTTCATGCCGCACTACGTTGTGCACTTAATAGTTGCCCATAAACACGAACTGAGCGAGGAGGAAAAAAAGAACAGAATGCCAGAAAAACCAGCTGAAAATGCTGGGGAGCAGAAGCATTCGATGATGGTGATGGGGAGGTGGAAAAACCCCCCTCGATTTTTCTGCATCGTGAACCACATGATGCAAAACTAATTCGAAATTAATGTGTGTGCGCTTTGTCTACGTCGATTGGTGGTGGCTGCCGTTTTTCCCTCCTTTCGATGGTTTCTAGTCCTTGGTCCTTGGGGTGGTGGCACTTCCACCGCCCACCCACCGAACCACCCACTCTCCCTTTTGTTTTTTTTTTTGGCGGATGAGGCAATGACAGGTAGATATTCGATGTCCTGACAAAACTATTTACGTGGGGCAATAAAGTTTCCGGGGTGGCGAAAAGTTCATCGGGGAATTTCGATTTCGATTTGCAGCCAACATGATATGGGTTATTTCGTTTTTTGTGGGACAGAGGGACGAAATTCGTTTAAGCTGCCTGGACATGACCTGAATTCGCAAGATTTTACAGAAAAGAAAATTCAAGCTTTAGTAAAGTTTATAGTAATTTTCGATATTATTTTAGGGATCCCTATTCTAAAGTTGAAATATAAAATATATTATTATGGTAATGGTTAGGGGGGAATTTCAAAACAAAATTTGTTTGTTGCTTACTTTTTGAATACCCAGTTTTCTTTCATTACTTTCCCTTTCTCACTGCTCGCTGCTTGCTTATGTAAGCGGCCTTCAAAGGCTGATCCACCCACAGAACAGGTGACACAAACCAACCACCCACCCACTCAACCTTTTTCGAGATCTTCTGCAAAGAGAGGGGAAAATCTATTCAGGACTTGGAAGCTGGAAACTGTTGCACTTGACTATGCAAACAGGGCAAGTGGAAAAGGAAAATCGAGGGGGTGGCTGGGTTGATGGATTCATGCCACCAGGCGGCGGCGCCTGTTGTTTATTTATGTGCCTGTCCTGCTTGTTTGCCCAATGATTCAGCTCTCTCAAGGATCTCGGCACTTGTTCGGCATCCTCGACGTCGGATGATGCGGATGTGGCTGCGGATGTGGATGCGGATACGGATGTTTGCCAAAGAAAAACATCAAGAGTGAACGAAAGCGGGGGCCGTGTGGAATTCAGAAGGCCACGAGGTTACTGGAAATATTTTTCTAAGCGCGAAATGAGTGTTTGAACTTTTATGGCTGCCGAGGGTTGCTTCAATGGTATAATTGCTATTGCTACAACAACAATTACAAACAACAACTGCCGCAGGGTCACGACGAAAAAAGGGGGGTGGTTTCCCAGTTTCCCAACAGCTTCCCAGTTTTTCCACCCAGCAACGCTTTCTGCGGCAATCAAATGAAGTGTTCCTGAATGGTTTTCAAAGTTAATTTGAGTGATGCTCGAGTGTATTTGTTACTGGTACTGACAACCCTCCTTCGAATTTTGTATTTCGGCGTGTTTATTAACATGTGTTTACAACAACTTAAAGCGCCCTTATGGAATCGACTCGAATCGAAAGGGGCGAACGGTTTTTCTGACCAGGAATCTCTGGGTTTCACCAACCACCACCCGCCACCCACTCGAGTTATTCGAAAAACGATTTTGAACGATTTTGAATCGCTTTGAATCGCTTTGAACCACCCAGTAAGCGATGCTGGCAAACACTTGAAATTTCCGTACCGTTGGCTCTGTCTGCGGGTCAATTGTTGAAGGACTTTTACGGCTTCCTGCGACACTCGACCAAACGCTCGCAAAGGACTCCTCGAACTGATTAAGATCTCGTGGGTTAGGGCTCGTGTGGGTTAATCTCGGTAGATCCCAGATGGTGGGAAGTTTTCAGATGAAAGGCTTTTGCATAGCCACTAGATTGTTTGCTAATAAAAATAAAGGGAGCCTAAGTGAAGGATTTTTATAGTTATAATTTGAGATTGGATTATATTCTATTCTAAAAGTTGTAATCTTTTTTTTAAATAATTATATCGATTTTATTGGAATATTAGGAATATTGTTTTGTATAAATACGATTTATACTAAAAGAAAAGACCTTTTAAAATTTGTTTTTTAAATCTAAAATATTGTGCCATTATTAAAAATTGGCAAATTAAAAGTCCCAAGTATTAGATCACTCTCTGTTTTCCATAAAGACGATGTATACTAAAAAAAAAAGAAGAAGAAATTTTTTAAAAGATCTAAAATACTTTAAAATATTAAATGATCACAAATAAAAAATCCCAAGTATCAAATCACTTTCTGTAATATTTTTTTTTGCCCGTCAGAAAGTAAAAACTGCAGCTTGTCAGCTCTTCCATGCTTTACCTCCATGGACATCTAATTCGAAAGCTACCCCCCATCGACTAAGAAACCCAAGCGCTGAAGCTGGAATTGGAATCTCATCATCTCATCCACTCATCCTACTATTCCTATCCTACCATCAGCCCGAGACTTCAACTCAACTCATCTCGTCTCGTCTGCGGGATGCGCTAAGCTCTTCTTGGCCAGAGTCAGTCGATGTGACAGGTGCCAGATGAGACTGGAAGCGCAGAAAGTAGAATCTAAATCTAAATCAAAGAACCCAGAACTCAGAATCCAGATCGCTGGAGAGGACAACCCCCTTTGGGTTGCATCTGGTGCGGATTAGATTATGCATAATAAAGTGTAATTTATTTCTGGCAACTATCCCTCGGGGGAAAATTCTCGAATGTCTGTCAGGTGCTCCCCAAGGGTTTTTGTTTTCCGATTCAGCACAGATTTCTTTTTTTTTTCCCCCTTTTGAGTGACACGTTTCGAAGCTCGTTTGGCTCTTATCTCAAACGGCCCAGGGAAACTGGAACGCGTGTCAGCATTTTGCATGGCCCAGAGCTTAAAAGTCTGCGCCAGAGAGCCCAGAAGAGATAAGACCCCCGCCTAATCAACTTGTATAGAAATCAGCGAGCAGCAACTGCAGTTGACACGTGACCCAAACACCGAACACCAGTTAAAAACGGGGGGAAGGAAGGGCTACTTAGACCATGAAATGGCGACACGTGACCCAGTCGGCGAAATAAACCCAATTCAAATCCAATTGCAGCGTCGTTTTGGGCTTAGCCCAGTACAAATATTATTTATTGCAATTGTATTTTAAGTGGAGTGTTTCCTTCTATTCTGTCATACTTTAGCAATTTGTTCAAGCTCTCGTTCTGTTTCGATTTCCACTTACAGATTCATTAATGGGCTCGGCGAGCGAAGACGACGACGACGATGATCCCCCGCATTTGCGGGCCACGGCACTCGGATTGGGCGTACTGGGGCCCAACGGACCCGACTCAGCGGGCGGACCTCTGGGCACATCGGATATATCAGTACAAAGCATGAGCACCGATAGCAAAAATACCCATGACGATTCCGATCAGGTAAGACGATCATTAGCCTGTATTTCGCCCGAGTAATGAATGGGAGATGGAGAGTGCTACCCTGGAGTTTGCTAAATTAAAAGAGTTTACTATTTTTCGGGATCTTTTAACCCACTTCCTGAGTCTCAAGTTTAAACTTGCACTTAACCGCCACTTAACCGGTAATTTATATTAAATACTTTTGAGCAGCTTACAACTTTTCCATAGTCCTTAGATTAAACTTGCACTTAACCGGCACTTAACCGGTACTTAACCGCCACCTAACCGACATTTCATATTAAGTACTTTTGAGAAAAAAAAACTTTTCCATTGTCTGAAGTTTAAACTCTCACCTAACCGCCACTTAACCGCCCTCGACTTAATGACTTTATATAAAGGGTATTTGAATAATCGCCTTTATAAGGTCCGCTTTTGATGATCAGTCGTTTAGGTGGCATTGTTGGGGTCTCTCATTCCACACTCCATATCCACACTCGGTTTGATTAATGATTGGCAAACGATTATGAGAGAGAGAGACGCCCGGCATTGTGTGCACTATATAGAAAATACAGAAATACAATATACAATACCCACTCGATCGCAGGGCTCCTTGGACGGCGATCCGGATGGACGCGGCGATTCCCAGGCGGAGAACAAAAGTCCCGACGATGCCAACGGATCGAAGCGACGCGGTCCGCGCACCACCATCAAGGCCAAACAGCTGGAGGTGCTGAAGACGGCCTTCAATCAGACGCCGAAGCCGACACGCCACATCAGGGAGCAACTGGCCAAGGAGACCGGGCTGCCCATGCGCGTCATACAGGTGAGTGCCTGGGCCATCTGGCAGGGGATAGATGATATGCGGGGAAAATATGATCCTAAGGTGTCAAAAATAAAGGGAAAACTAGCTGTAGATCCTTAATTATTTTAGTGTATTGGAGAATATTTCAAGTACCCACAATATCTTAATAATTAATATCTTAATAATACCATAGATTCATAAAATGTATATGATCTTAGGTGAAAGGTGTCGAATATAAAAAGAATATATGAAAACTAGCTATAGCTCTTTCATTATATCTATAAGGAATTTTAGCCACAATTACACACAATTTCTATCTTAATAATACCATAGATTCACAAACTATAGAGTTAAAATTAGCCTAATGTCAGCTAGAAAATATGTTTCTCAACTTAATGTTCTTATAATTTAATTTTAAACTCCACACTCAACCCATTCGAAAGCCGTAAAACTCGGCAAGAAATGAATTTAAATTGGTGGGCCCATGGATATTCCGCGGAGGGCCTTCCGTTGAAAAAGGCAAGTGCAGGCCGAGGCGGAAGAGTCCGCGATGTTTGGGCATGAGCTTTACTTTAACGATTCCATTTCCATAGCTGCCTCGGTGACTTTGTGCGTTCATCTTAGTGGTAGAAGTATTAGTAGTAGTAGTTGTAGTAGCGACCTCCAAGTGGTCGCTGGTCTTCGGGTTTCTCGAGTGGCGTGGAGCGGCCCGTCGTCGTCTGCGTTTCATCAGCATAAAAAAGGCATAAATTAAGCGCGCTTTGACTGGCAAATGTTTAAACTAAAGCAAACGCGGTCACCGCCCCAGCCCCCGCCGCTCAGTGCCGACAAGAAAACGAAGAACAAAATATCATAAAAAAATAGTCGGACGCGATTTTTCAACGTTGCCCCGTTGCAACGCTTCATTGCTCGGCTAGTAAAAACAACAAACCAAATACAATAAAAATAAAATTAATGTCGGAACGAGGGCGGACGCAGTCGCCATGTGGGCGTGGCGGCGCATTAAAAACGGAAGTTCAATGCGCTCGCAACAAAAAAAAAATAGGCAACAGAAAGCAATTTGCCAAAAAAGAAGGCAAAGAAAATAAAATGCGCAAAAATTCCGAAAAAATTAAAAAAAAAACCTCTCTTGCAGATATGAGAAGCGCCGAGAAGGGCGCAAAAATGTTAACTAACATGCAATGCTGTGATTAGAAGAAAATCAGGGCCAGAAGCTTACGTAATGGGATTAGAAAAGCTGCTTAACAAATTGAGCATATTATATAGGCGGTCCGAAAGTGGATTAGAGCAGAATATTGTTAATTGAGGAAGTGCTGCTAAGGTAGAAACTTAATTGCCGCTAAGTAGATGCAACCAAACCCGAGCCTTTGAAGTTCACCGATCATAAGGCCGTGAAGTATGAAAAATAGGGCTTTTCTAATTTGCTATTTTAATCAGTTTCTTTTGAAAAAAAGTCTGTTTATAAATCATGTATTATATCTTTTTAAGTAGATGGTTTGAAACGTAAGTGAGTACTTAACTATGCCATCACCTTTCACCTTGTCATTTCAAATTTGCTGCTGACAGATCCCTAAGTTGAAGTCCCTCCCAGTTTCTTTTCCCTCGAATCCTTTTTCCCATCGTTAGGCAGCTGTTGGGTTCTAACCTAACCTGTCAAGGATATCCGTAGCATATGTTCCACATGATCTGACCGCAACAACATCATTATGCTGGCTCTTCATTCGACCCGCTCTTCGGGGCACCTTGCTCGATTTTTCCGACAGGTTTACTGGAGCTACACCAACCCCTCTTTTAGTTTTCCATTGTTTTTCCAATCGACGGGACTCAAAATACCCAAATTCCTATCCCATGAGCACTTGAAGATGGGCACGGGTTCGGTTTATTTCGATTCGGTTCGGGTTCTCGGGGTTCTATGGTCTGGGTTTCGGCTTCGGTATGTGGCCTTTGATGTGTCATTGGTTACAGTTAAAGGATATTTAGGCGGCATTCGTTTCTTCTTTCAGCTCCTCAGCATTTCGAGCATTTCGAGCATTTCGCTCTTTTTCGAGGCGACAAGTGTGACACAATCAACACCTCTTTGGGGTCCCTCTTCACAACTAAACGAAAGTGACAAATGCCAACAAGTTGAAGAGGAGGCACACCAAACAAATCTTAATCTGCTCGCGGGAATCGCTGGAGAATCGTTGGAATCGGAGAAAGGGGAACTGAGAACTGGGAATGGAATGGGTTGGACATCTGTGGGCTGTCAGCGGCAGTTTGGAGATACATTTGCATCTTCATTAAGGCTGCACTCTTTTTTTCACCCGTTTCACCCAATCATCAAGCGTATCAAATGTCAAATATATAAACATAGATATAGGCAGCTTCCAGCTGATTTCGGATTTCTGATGTCTGTTTTGTGTTTTCTGATTTCTGGGGAAACAGCTTTGAGTAACTTGATCCCCATCAAAGCGTTGACTTTGGCAGTTCGTCAGCTTTGGCTTTGGATTCGGGAATCCTCTACAGATGTCAACGAGAACGTACAAATTGTACGACTCTTGGAGAGTCTGTGAATCTGTGAATCTGGGAGACGGGGAGCATCTTTCTCTTGGGCGCCCGCCCGCTGTGAGTTTTATAATAAATTTTACAACAACAGCAGCAGCAACCTGAGGGCATGACACAAAAACTTCTTAAGAACTTTTGCCGACAAATGAAAAGGGGGGAGGGGGCGATGGCCGCGCCACGGGACAGAAGTTGGGCCCCACGTTGGGCGCCAACAAAAACAATATGCCCTCGCCATCGCCTTGCCCACTATTCGTGGCGTGTCTTGAACTTTGACATAAAAGCTGTGAACTCGGGGGCAGAGTACGCAAAGCGTATCCAGATCAAAATAGATCAAAAACTTGACCAAGGAAATATTTTGAAAGTTATAAATATATTTTCCCTTTCGGTTCTCAACTAGGAGAAATGTATTTCCAGTTTCTATTAAGATAAATGCGAGTTTATTTTAAGCTATTCCTGAGAAACCCACCGCAAATCATTCCCATGCGAGGGCCCCCATAAAGCATTTGTATAATTGATAGATAGGTGGACCTTTGAGCATAAAACCAAATGCGTTCCGAAGAGTTATGGCCACGAATGTCGTTTCGTATCGAAGAGACAGAAGTCAACCTGTTTTGCGGGGGACTTGGAAATGAAGGAAAGGGGTATCTCTCTAGGTTCAGAGGCGGTTCTTTTTTTTGGGTTTCTTTCGCTCCATTTAAGCTTTGAAAAATTATAAACAAATAAACGGATACTGAGGGGCGGGGGGTTTGAAATCACACAGTCGACGGAGCGCGAGCGGCAGCTAAACCAAAATTTTTAATGTGGCATGCGCTGAGCTTGGCGCCAGTGACTTGGAGATACAAAGATACAAAGATACGCCAGATACTAAGATACTCATATTCAGATGCGGATGCGAGCCGGACATTTGTCAAGTGATGTCGTGCAGAGGCGTTTATTTGTCAACAGAAAACATATTCGAGAGCATTTCCAGTCGTGATTTGCATTTCGGTTTCTTATTCCCTTTCGGAGGCCCCGCGAAGATTTATACTCTTTATATATTTTATCTGGTATCCCAAGAGATCGTCGTCTTCGTCGGAAGTTGACAAATTTCGACGGGGCGCCGTATAGAGTTTTCGTTTTTCTCCTTCGTTTTATGGCCAACTAATTAGTCAAAGATCTCGAGCTGGGCTTTTATTAATTGAGCGGAAATTGTTTTGATTTTGTGGGTTGTGGATGCAATAGTTCGGGTTCGGTTTTGGTTTCGGTTTCGGCAACCGCAGAACTTGAAAAGAAACCAAAAAAAGAAAGAGATTGAACCATTCACAAGGGGCTAATTTAACGCATTTATTCCAACATGGATTGGTAGTTAAACTCGGGGCGCCCTCTTTTCCATGACTCGGCAAATAATTGAGATGATAGTGGGGGGGTTATAATTTCAACAACTCATCAAGTTGCTATTAATTTCGATTGAGGCGCCGGAGCTACCAAAAAAAAAAGATGAAAAAACAACTGACCGAAAACAGAAATATACCCCGAAACCCGATGAAACTGCCGAATCATGCAAGGAGCTCTTCTCTTTCAGTAACACCTACTAAACTATGGGAAAAAACAAAGGCCAGGAGGGAACAGCGATGCGATCCACCTGAAATACAGATGGAAAACAGCAGAAAACAGCCGAAAAAAACAGGAACAAAAAGAAGAAGTTAATTATCTGTTAACTCTTACTCGAGGCCAATTCACGCCTCACCAAATCATCGGTAGAAAAAAGGAAAACAAGAGGCAAAACGAGCGGTAGTCATCGATATGTTGACTCGAGGGCGTGACGACAGCCCCCCGATAATAATAAATGCAAATCATCAGCGAGTGCTTGAGGTCATCATCGTAATCATGGCAATCGCCATCGGAGGTCTTCTGAAAAGGATCTTGAGTTTCCCTTACATGGTATTTGCCTGGCTAATAAGCCATATATCATTTTTTAAAGGGGCCGTTCTGCTTGAAAATAAAGTCTAGAACATTTCTTTGTTGGTAATAAAATGGTATATCAAATACTTTAAAGTGTGACCAAATTTACCACAGAAATTCCAGGAAATCCCCTTCGATCTTAACTCTTTTCTTGGCCCGAATGCCGCCGTTGATTAGCTTTAAAAATTGTTATTGCCAACTTCGTTTGCTACCATTGTGGAAGAAGGGCAACCCAAGTTGCCCCATTGTTTTTGGCAATTAAGCGGAGAGCAGCAGCGGCAACAGCAGCAAACAATAAACAATAAAACAACATGAAAAGGCAATCCAAACAAACAAATCTTGCCGCATCATAGCAAACTAATTTAACAAAATAGCCAAAGAAACGGAAAGCCGAAAACCGAAAAAATGGGGGCCTAGGAAAAAAGGTAGCCGCCAAACAATGGGCTAATATCGAATGGGATTCGGTTTCAAAGTTAGGATGGATCGGATTCGGATCTCAATCGGATTCTGAATGGCAAATCCTATCCACAACCAATCATATCAATCAAAGGCAACCAGAAACGTGACACACATTTGGCTGCCCCTTTTGCGCATATTTTTTTGTTTTTCGGAGGATCGCATTAAGATGGAATACGATTTTATAAGATTGTATATGAGCATTATATATATGACCCCTGGCCCACCCCCTCATCGCTCAATCGAAATGAGCAACAGAAAAAAACAGAAAAAAGGGGGAGGGGCAGGTGGGAGGCCAAACGCGCTGCCGTTTAACATAATTTGCTATAATTTCCAACACAATGCAGATGGAAGCGGAGGAAGGTAGGAGAGCACACCTCGGTTGGGTTAACCCTCTGAGGCCTCTGAGCAGCTCCCTGTTGCACACAGCGAGAAAAAACGGGGAGATTGTGGGGTAATAACCCATTATAAGAAATCGTTACATAAATTATTAATATTTAAAAATATTAATATAATATAAAAATATTTTTGGTAAATCTTACAACATTATTTGTAATGAAAAATAAAAAAAACTATCATCAGTAATCGTAATAGACTTTACAAAATAAAACTCAATTAAAATTAGTTAAAATATAACATTATGGTAAAATAAATCTTACATCGTCCTTTATTGTAAGTATTTATTTTGCTACATCCCAATTATTTCCGTCAGTGTACAACTCCGCTCTCTGCAATAATCATTTTGTTATGTGAGGGATTCGGTTCTCGGGGGCCGACCCCTTGTGATTGCTACCATGGGCCATTATGCTACGTTGTTTGCCCTTTTATGTCAGAGTCTAACCTATAATTTAACTAAATGTTCAAATGTTGCTGGCCGCGTGTTCAACTTAGTTCAGTTTAAGTTTAAGTTCCCTTCTCCCTCTACTTTAAGTCGGAAATTTGTTGAAAGCTCCAAATTGGAAACAAATTTCGGTGCCCAAGTGCGGAAATAAAATATTAGCCGCACATTTTTCAAAATTGCCAACAATTTGCCGCCGCAGCAAGAGAACAGGATAAAAAAAAACAGAGGAACAGGAAAATATGTTATGATGATAACCGTAAATGATGCGATTTTGATATATCATAATATCATATATCCACATAATAAGCCAGAGGGCAAAAGAGTACGCGAACTGAACCGAAATTAAAATACACACCATTGGCCAAGCAAAGCAAAATATATACAGCACGGAAAAATATGGAAAGCAAATCAGAGGCCAAAGGAAAATATTTCTCTCAAATTTATGGGCGAAAAAAGCATTTCACGCCCATTTGCTGTGAGCTAACAACATTTTTGGGCTGAGTAAACTGGAATTTTGATTGCGGGTTTTCGCAGTGCAGTGCACAGGAATTTAGAAAAAATTTAACTTTAAAATAAATTTTATTAGATTTTAGAAAATAAATAATTAAATTAATAATTTAATTTAATAATGCAAAAACATTAAAAAGTTAATTGTAAAATTTTTCAAAAATCTAAATTAAAATACATAAATTGCAGCTATTATTTGTAAAACTATTATAACAGTGTTCAAATGTTATTACATAAATAGAACATAAATGAACAGACATTTAAAGATCATAAAATTTAATAATAGAAAAAAATCCATTGTAAAATAAATTTAAAAATCTTGGTAAGTGGCCATTATTCCACATTCCACTCATGTGGTTTCCCATTTGAATCTTGGAACTTACATAACAAAAAACCTCCGCACCCCACCTCCCTTTTCGCGCAGTGTGTCGCCCACATCCAATTGGCATTTTTCTGTTTATTTCTGTGTTTTATTTTTTCCCTGCTATTTTCTTTCTGTTGCACTTTTTGCTGCACTCCATTTGCCATTTGTTGCTGTTTTTCTTTGTGGACGTAACAAAACAATGTGGAAATGTGCTGCAGAGTAAAAAACACAAAGAAATGGAAAAAGAAGAAGAAAAACTAAACTGAAAGGATAAAAAAGGGGGAAAAAACAGGGAAAACAAATGCAAAACTATTGTAAATGCATATTTTAGTTTACGTTCCTCTTTTTCCGTTTTTTTTTCGAACCAAACCAAACCAAACCTCCTCCTCATCCTTTCCACTATTGTTGTTTCTTTTGTTTGGTGTGCATATGAAAATGAAAAATTATGTGACCGCAGGGCCCACAGAGGCAAATATCGCATATGGAAAAATATGGCGAACACTCCGCTCAACTTTCCAGTGGATCCGATGTGGTTTTCTGGGCGGTTCGTGGGTGGTTTTGGGTGTTACGGGTGGTGGTTGGGGGCCTCACCTTTTATTTATTGCGCTGCAGTGCTACGTGTAATTGAAATGTGGTGGCAGCTTAGCCGCGTATTCTGTGGATTCTGGGTTCTTTGTTGGTTTCCCTTTGTGTGCCTTTTTTATTTTTATTATTTCTGCCAGTTCTAGTTTGGTGCCGAATTGAGTTTTGCCACGTCTACGACGTTATCAAGGTGATTACGCCAAGCGTTACGTTGTACTATACCATAAAGGAGTGCCCATTTTTTTCCGCAAGTTGACTGTTCAGCGAAAACGATGCAGCATAAAAATCTAAAACTAAAAACCGAAATTCAAGAATAATACAAAGAAGCTAACTGAGAAAGGATTTTTTTATAGATCCTATTTATAAGATTTTAGCAAAACCTTCCTCTTAATTTTGCCAAGTTCCCATTAGACATCTGTGCTTCTATTTGTGCAACTCCCAGCGGATTATCTTCGTGGCTGTCATAAAGTCACACGCTCCACCGAGAACTCGAGATGGTAACGTGGCTCGGGATTGGGATTTGGTATGGTGTATATGCGCTATATGTCTGGGAGACTAAGAGGATGAGACCCAACTATGCACAGCATGTTACTTCCTTTTGTGTGCATCCTGCTTGCCGACAAAAAACGAAAAAAAAACAGAGAAAAAGGCGAAGAAAAAGCTACGTCTTCTCTTCATTCTGCGGTTCTGGTTTCCTTTCGCATTCTCAGGCCCCGAAAAAAGGCTTTTCTAGCGAAATTCGCTGCGCCGCCGAATGTGTCAGTTTATAAATGTGAAATGTGAAGGGCCCCCCGACTTATATGCATGTCTAGTCTGCCCGGGCGAGTTCATAAATTCAAATGAACTGCAGAACGGCGCTCATCATTAAAATTCACGCTCAAATTGCCTCCAAAGACTTTCGGCCAACAGCTGCAAGGAAGGCAAAAATCTAAGCCCAATTCATTGGAAACTATTTGCCAAAAAAGATGAAAATAAAAAGGACAAAAAGAAGAACGCACGGGGCGCGCAAAGACATAAATCAAAAAGTTTCATTGAGAAAAATATATAAAACCAGGAGAAAATCAAAAAAGTTGCAGCAGATCATTAAAAGAGCGTCCCAGATATGAATATTAAAAGAGCCAAAAGAACCAAAACCGAGACGAAAAAAAAGGAGGATATGAAAAGGATGGGAATAACAAACGAGAGACAAAAGGATCGGTGGAGAGCGCGGGCGAGCGGCCCCGAAAGGTGCCACTAAAACTTTTGAAATATGTTTTTATTTTATAACTTTGCATGCTGGGCACGGTGCTTCTGGAGCACCCGGAACGTAAGCCAAGGAACCGAACCGAAAGCCGAAAAAAAACCGAAACCGCACAACCCAAGAGCCCAATAACCGAAGAACCGAAAACCCACAGCCAGAACGTCGTAAAAATGGCATCGAAGTCTGCGGAGACGCGTCTTCTGTCTTCTGTCTACCAGTCCGCCAGTCCACCAGTCTTCTCGATCCTCAATCCTCTTCAGTGGCGTGGGGAATGGGGCTAATTTTGCGACGGCCGCCCGGTGCGGCGGTAGCATCAATGCAAAAGAGCCACAGCCACCAGCAGAATCGGAATCAGAATCTTCGGAGCCAGAAGAATCGCCGGGCAGCAACAATTAGACATGCGCCTCCATAAACCGATGCACCGAGACAACAGACACAAGATCCCCAAAAGAAAATCATTTTTATCTCCCCGGAAGTCCCCAGAATTCTGTACGGTTTTTTTTTTTGAATGCCTTACAAACTGAGATTCTATTCCTATTTTTAACAAAACCACGAATCACGATTTTCGACCAAAAATAGCAGTATTTTTTCCACAAAATTGGAAATAATGATCCAAATGCCGAGTGTCACACCTCGTTGAACTCGTAATGAAATTCCCAATTGATTGACATTCAAAGCTAAGCATTTTATTTTTTGTCCATTTTTTGCAAAAAATCATAATGTAACCCCTTATAAAAAAAGAGAAAATTGGCGAAAATTTAATTTTTTTAAGATCACCCGGAAAGTTACATGGATTTGTTTATTATTTTGTTATCTGTTCAAAACAGTATGTATTTTTGGTGTAGGACCATTTTTGGCCAAGTTACAGCAAAAAAACCAAAAGAAAAATTCAAATTTTTGTCAAAAACTGAAATCCCGAATTTCCAAAAAAAAAAAACAAAACGGGTTTGTTCGCTAAAACAAAGCAAATATTGATTCAAAGTATGGATTGTCATACCTTTCTGAACTCGTTATTAAATTTCCTAACGATTGGCATTTAAACCTTGACATTTTATTTATTTTTAATTTTTCGCTAAAAATCATGGGGTACCCCCTTATAAAAAAATTAAAAATTAGCGAAAATTTTATTTTTCCAAAATCACACGGAAAGTGTTCTGGGTTTATTGCCAATTTTGTTATCTGTTCAAAACAGTTTGCATTTTTGGTGTAGGACCATTTTTGGCCAAGTTACTGCAAAAAAACAAACAGAAAAAATAAATTTTTTGTCAAAAACCCAGATCCCCATTTTTCACAAAAAAATAATTGGTTTTTTGGCCAAAACTATACAAATATTAATCCACATATGGGTTGTTCTCTTTTATTCTCAAACCATGTAAATGTAATAAGAACATTGTAATTTTTTTGTAATTATTTGTATTAATCTTGTTCTTTTTCTAAACCATTTTTCAGGTGTGGTTCCAAAACAAGCGGTCGAAGGAGCGACGCATGAAGCAAATCACCAGCATGGGCCGTCCGCCTTTCTTCGGAGGCGCCCGCAAAATGAGGGGCTTCCCGATGAACCTCTCGCCCGGCGGACTGGACGACGGACCCGGCTTCCCCTACTTTGCGGCGGACGCCAAGTTCGAGTTCGGCTACGGCGGACCCTTCCACCCGCACGACGGACCCTACTTTCCCGGCCACCCCGGCGGCCCGATGCCGTTCAATGCGCCAGGTGAGATCCCACAACTCCGTTCTAAAAATATAAATCAGTTTAAATATATCGCTTTCAAATTAAGATAATTTGATATTACTGGAAATGCCCTTTAATAGCTTATCAATCTTTAAGAACAATGAAAATCAACCAGTTTCAAAAATTAAATACAAATTGGTTTTAGCAAAGGGTTCTTAGAAAACTTTTCCCTCCCTTAAAATACAAAAAAATTACTAATTTAAAAAAAAAAAAATAAATCTATCTAATCTAAAAAAAAAAAAAAAGCAGTGAAATGAAGTCATGATACCAATAATTCCTAAATAGTTACTAAATTGTTACCAATACTTTCCTAAATATTTTTTTAATTTTTCTTAAGACGTATAATAATATAAGTATAACTCTGTAAGAACTTTTAAAACTTAAACCCGAAAGCAACAAATAAAAAATAAATTCAGAGCAGAGAAATAAAATCATAAATATTTCCCAATAATTTCTAAATATTTTTATAACTTTTCTAAAAACTTAAAAATTAAATTACCCTCTAAGAGTATAACAAACTAACCACCTTATCCCTTCTCTTAACCCCCAGGCGGCCCCATGGACCACAGCGGCCCCATTCCGATGGTGAACGAGTTCGGACTGACGCCGGAGGCGACGTTCCTCGGGCAGGCGGGCGGTCCGCCGATGCAGCTGCAGTCGGCCGTTGGGCCGCCGCCACCGCCGCCGCCACCGAGCGCCGAGCACTTGATGGCCGCCGCAGCGGCAGCGGCGCAGCAACAGGCGGCGCAACAGCAGCAGCAGCAACAGCAGCAACAGCAGAATGCGCAACAAGCGGCGAATCAGACGCAGCAGCAGCAGCAACAAAATGGCCCCCGCACCAATTCGCCGGAATTCATGAGCTCGGCGAATTTCAGCGAACCGCAGAATATGCAAAATGAAGGGCTCGTTTGGTAATATACGAAACAGTTGGCAACGCGGCTGCTGCTCTTCGGCAGAGAGCGAGTGCGAGAGCGGGAGAGGGAGAGAGCGGCGCAGAGCGAGTGCGAGTGAGGGAGATAGCAATGGCTCTCGCTGTAGTGCCGTCTCGCTCTCGCCCGAAGGCTAAGCCCCACCCCCTCTGCTACGTTTTGTTTTTGTTATAACTTTATTATTATTATTATTATTACTGTGCTATTTTTTTTGTATTTCAATTCGGCGCCAAAATATTTGTAAATTATAAAAAACTAAACAAAACAAAAAAAAAAACAAAATAGACAAAGAAAATCTCTCTTAAATGTATAAAAAAAACAAAAACAAATAATGGGCGCTGCACATAGTAAACAATTTTTTTTAACAATAAAAAACATAAAACAAGAAGAAAAAATCTAAAAAAATTAAATTAAAAGCAAACACTAAACGTCTTGTCTGTAATTAAAACAAAAATACTATTTATGTGTATCAGTGTATAAAAAAAAATGCAAAAATCTGTAGTCTAAAAAAAGAATGATCGGCATAAAGAGATTTTTTTTGTAAATTAGCACATTTTATTCGTAACTCTAAAAATTGTTTATTTTCTGCCTGCATTTTTTGACGAAAAACTTTTTTTTTATATTATTACACGTAACATATGGATATATATTATAATCGTTGTCTAACAACATAAACGTAACTAGGCATGTACTAGGTCCTAAGTCTACATAAACCAGATATTATATATACAAGAGCTATATACGGCAGCACACACGTACACGGCAAAAAAAACGACAAAAAACAAACAACACATAGCAAACTAAACTAAACTATTTTTTTTTTTTTGTGGTCCTAGAACGTAAGCGAACGTAATTTATTATAAACAAATCGATAAAAAAAAGATGAGAGAGAAGGGAGAGAAAGAAGGATGATGAGGCAGTGGAAATGCTAAAACTAAATGTAAACCTAGAAAAGGATGACACCTAAACAAAATTACACATATATATAAAAAGTATATGAGCATAAATATATGAATTTCCAATTATAATGATATAGCAGCGAAAAAAAACGAGAAAAAGAGAAAATCCCAAATCCCCCAGCTAACAATTTTGATTATTATTATGACGATGCGAATTATTATTATTATTGTAAAAAGTATTAGTGTTAGCATAATGCGTAAGTTTATTAAAGAACCGAAACAACAACAACAACAACCACAACACAGACAACTAAATCCTTATATTCATCAAGCGATTAAAAATAAAATGTGCAAAGGAAGCGGCAACAAAGGCAAATTATGATAATGGCTAAAGGATAGAGAAGTGTGGGAAATAGAAAGCGATAAAAAGCGCCAGCGCCAGATAAAAAGTTCGCATAGGAATGAGTATGAGAATGAGAAGGAGCGCGGCAAAAGGCGGGAAAATCAATAATAAATAAACACAAATTGTTAACAAAACCTAAATAAAAAGCAAGACGCAAGAAGATGAAGAGCAACAAACAAAAAACGGAAATGAAAGAAACATTTGATGAGAAAAAAATATATATAAAATAAAAAAAATTAAACAAAATTGTGTCTTTTCACTTTGGAACCATAAATGGTGAGGTGAGTTTTTTTTGGCATTTTTACAGGACATTTCAAAGCGATTTGGATTGCTAAATTTCTTAGATAATAATATTTAATAGATTCAACTTTGGATACCTTCTTTATTTTACCTTTGCTTCAGGTCAATGAGAATGTCCTGTGAGCGAAAATCCGTTCCTTTGACTATAGTGACCGTATCCTAAGTTAACATCCCCTTAAATTGGCATATCGCATAATTTAATTTACAAAAGTAAAATAGCCAAAGTGTCTCAAGGTGCAAATGCAAATTCCCAGCCCTTTTGGCAGGACAGTTTAGGGATTGGAAAAACGAAATCTGCCAAGAGCCCTGCAGGTACAAATGAATATAAACTTTAGTTTCCGATTAAGTGGGATAAATTCATGTATTTATATGATTTTCAAACCCATAAAAAGCTGTATATATTTCTATATATTTCCTTTGTTAAACACTTACAAGTGAGTGTGGGATTTCGTGACCATTAGCAGGGAGCTCATCTGTGCGGCGTCGGGCAGCGTCTTAAATCGCTCGGCGGTCGGCCAAGTTAATATGCGTGGCTAATATCGGCACAACACATTATTGATGCCCAGGACATGGACATGGCATTTTGTGTGTTGCAAAAGGGAAAGGGGGAGGAGGAGGGGGGGCGAACGGGGGTTGCCTTTTGTTCGACACATGTGCGCGCATTCACACCTACGACCGAAAACACGACCACGAACAATGAAAAGGGGCGTCGTAAGGATGGCAGGGGGGTCGGGGGCCATTTCGAAGGGGGGCCACGGCAACGTAGATAGCATTTAATGCAAAACAATGCCACACTGTTGTTGCTGCAGCAGAGGCATGCAACAGCAACATCGGCGGCAACAACAACCATGACGAATTTCGTACTCGCCATATAGCACCGCATATATCCACATCCACATCCACACAGATCCACAGATGGCCGCAAACATATATGGCCACATATATCCACATCTGCAGGCGTTGCAAAACGGGGCACGCACTCGGACATGGAAATGGACATGGACATGGACAGGCACACAGGCGCACAGTGGGGCCTCGATTATGAAGGACCATTAAATTGTATTCAATAATAGCAAATAAGATATCTTTAATTTGTTCTGTCTTATTTTCTTACTTAGTCTTGAACTAAAAATAAATACAATTAATGTTAAATATAAATAATTTGAAAAGTATCTTTAAAAATCAGATATCGGATTCAAACTATTTTAAAAACATTTTAAAATGAAATAACTGTCTTAAAAAATACAATTTTTATAGATATTTCATTTTATCTTGAATTAAAATTAACTACAATTTATGCCAAATACAAAAACCTTGGAAGTGTATTAGTTATAAACCATTTAGGATTTGTATATAAAGATATTCATATCATTTTGCATTTTGTTTTCAGTATTATTATTTGAAATTCAGTATTATTATGTAACGGTATAAAACTTTTTAAAAACAAAGAAAATTGTATCAACATTTTGTTTGAATCATCGATTATATATTTTTTATAAATATTTTATTTTAAAACCTTTTTACACGATGGCTCTAACGAGGCTCCACTGTACTCTTGGCGTTTAGCTGAGCGTTGCCCTGTGATGTGTTGCACTTCACACACGGATGCGGCCGCACGCACACCGTTGCACTTGTGTTCTAGTGGCTTGTCTAAAACGCATATTAAATGTCCATCAGTAGCTGCTGTGTGTGTGTGGGCGAGTGTGTGTGTGTATGAGTGAGGCGTTCAATCTGTCCTGGGCCATCAATCCACAAAAGCGTCGAGCCAGGACGAGCCAGAGTTTCTCCTCTGGTCCTCTGTCCTTTTCGTCCTGCCAACCGGCCAAAGTCCTGACGTGTGACGTTCGTTTATCAGTTGGCAGCCGCCCGACGGCCAAAAAGGGGCATGGTCGGGCAGGGGTAGGGATTGTGAGGCGGAGGTCAGGGGGCGGTCGTGAATGATGGACGTGAAGAGGCCATGCCAGTATTTTCAGCTGCATTCGCACAGTGGAAGAAATTGAGCAAAAATGTAATTATTAATTTATTTTAACACGCCAAAAAAAAAACTGGGAGAATATCTTAAGGGACTTTTGTATTCCTTATCCTAATAAAATATATATAATATAAATTTGTTATAATAATATTTATTTGAAATGTTTGGCCACATTCAAACTTTATATAAATAACTAGGATAATTAAATATTTCATGTTATTATTATTTTTTAATTATTATTTGTGTCCTCTTTAAAACGTTTTCTCTTCAGAAACGTATCTATAAAATAAAGTATATTTTTAAGTACTTTTTGCCTGCACAGCCCACTGTAGCTGGCCTTGTGTGAGAATTTGCTGTTTGCGTTGTTTCCGTTTCCGTTTCCGTTTGTCGCCAAAAATGAATTTGTTAACATTAAATGGCATTTAGACCGGTGTGCCAAAGGGGCGGCCGAGGTGAGTGGGCGTGGCCAGGACCATCCATCCCGTACATCACTTCCCCTCCCCCTTTTCCTGCATCAGGCATTCATTCATCATCACTCATGTTGGCATGTCCAGCATTTTGAGCTGCAAACTGTAATTGTAGTTTCGGACTGCGACTCTAACTGTCGTTGCAGTTGTGATAAATGCTTTTGGGCTTTCGGCTTAGACACGCGTTGCCATCATCAGGGTGAATTTTTTGTTGGTTGAGGGGGGAAATATCGTTTATAAGGCGGACACGGCAAAAATCGAAACCGCAAAATTGCCCTTAACTTGCAACAGATCTTCTAAAGAGCCTCTCGATTCCACCTAAAGGCGAAAACAGAGAACAGACAGAGAAAAATATTCATAAAACAAACCTTTTTTCACATGAAAATAACTTAGAGAAGTGGAATCCTAATTGGACAATGATTTAAATATTCTAAATAGATTATGGAAACAAATATGAAGTAATAAAAACTTCAAACTTAATTTTTTATAATAAAAATTATATTGATATTTGATATACAGATACCACTAGCTTAGTAATTTTACTTAATTTATAAGCAAAAGATTTTGTAAGACTTTTTACGATGAGATAATTTATTTGATTTATCTCTTAAAGGTTTGAAAACTATGATTGAACAAAGAAAGTTACAAAACTATATTGGTAATAAGTTAACCATTTTATATTTTTTATAACTTATGTTTCTGTGTAGCTACTGTTTGTTGTTGCTCGGCTGTTGTGGTTTGCTGATGTTTGTTGTTGTTTGCCTGATTGCCTCCATGAGCGCCGTCTAATGACTCAATTTTCGATCAAAACCTGAGACAATTACGGCTCCACAATTATCGGCATGTGAATCACTTGTGTGTGTGTATCAGTGTGGGGGGGGGGGTTCCGATTTTAGGGGGCGGGGCAGCGGTACAAGCGGTATGTGCGTGCCACGCAATGACAGCCAGAGCGACGATGTTTGATTTGAAGCTGTCGAAAAGCAGCTCAGCAACTCGAACAAAGAGCTCGAACACGAAAACAATGAATGAGAAAAAAGGGAAAAGGGTTAGAAAAGGGTAGAAGCGAAATCGATGGAATCAACGAACCGAAGAATACCCTAAATAAGTGGCTTAAAGTTAAGCGAATTAAAACGATCCCCAAATAAAATTAAACTTAAACGGTTTAAAAAGTCGAATAAATAATAATAAGA